TCTAAACCCTATTCTGCCATCTATTTGTTCAAGCCAATCAAGTATGGTACATGCTGCGTTCTTTTGTACCTCTTTAAATCAGTCTGTCCTGTGAGTATCAGATTTTCCAAGCCCTGTTTCCTCATTACATGTCCCAGAAACCTCAACTGCCCCTTCCTGATGTTAAGTAGAAGTTTCCTTTTTTGATTCCATTTTCTCCAAATAATTGTTTCTTAAAAGTTCGGTCCATGGTATCCTCAGCATATTTCTGTAGAACCACATTTCTGTTGCTTCAAGTCTCTTCTCATCTTTGAGGAGATTGTCCAGCATTCGCTTCTATACAGGAGGACAGATATCACGTAACAGTTCAGTAATCTTTTCTTTGTTTCTGTTGCTTCAAGTCTCTTGTTTATCTTTGAGAAGATTGTCCAGCATTTACTGCCATACAGGAAGACAGGTATCACGTAACAGCTCAGTACTCTTTTCTTTGTTTCTGTTGCTTCAAGTCTCTTCATCTTTGAGGAGTTTGTGCAGCATTCGTAGCCATACAGAAGGACAGATATCACGTAACAGTTCAGTACTCTTTTCTTTGTTTCTGTTGCTTCAAGTACGTTCTCCATCTTTGACAACATTGTTCGGCATTCCCTGCCATATAGAAGGACAGATATTACATATACTCTTGGAGCTGGAATAGGTTGAGTGTGCAGATTTTAACTTCAAATCCTGTAAATATATTGTCAAAAAGAATTTTCGTGGCATCCTTTGGTCTACCATATTGATTTAAAGATGGCAGTCATTTCGGATCATAAGCCTTGATCACCAAATTTTTTTTTTTCGAAATATGGGGATGTTGTATACCATTTTACCAAAACATGTACCGATAAAAAAGTTATGGGAACTTATATTGGATCAAACTAGAACTACATTTTACATTTTGTCAAAATTTGCGAACACAACAAGACATCCTTTACACAAGGCGTTTGCTCAAATCATTCTATAAAGCTGTATTCCCACTTCAACAAATTTGCGTACCAAAGCAATCATATTTTGTGTTTGGTTTTACTCTCACAAGCTGCGCTCATGGCAAGCAAATAAGAACAATAAATTATTAGAGTGTGTGATTAAACTTGTCTTAAGTGATGATCCGCCTTAAAACTGACCTCATGTTTATTCATAATATCCAATTGAGTCAATAATTCCCTTAAGCCGTTGTGTTTGTAGTCAAAAAGATTTGAGCAGTTTCCTGGTGAGAGAGCTAAGTCTGTAATGATGACTAGGCCTACTGCTGAAAAAAATTTAAAAATGAAGACTTCATAAATAAAATAGATATTTATGCACCAATTAAACATACAATTACAGAAATCAATTCATGAGTATTGCTAAATCAATTTGATTATGGCATGTCAGCTGGATTCCTGCAACATCTGGCACCATCACATTTGCAGAACTGGCAACAAGCAACTTATTTCACACGACACAGGCAGACATTTCCACTGGCACATTTTAGACAGTTGCCTGACACAAGAAAGTCATCTGGAAATTTTGTTGCACTCACTATAATAACCCGCAATTGTCCTATTTCGTCATCCACATATACATATTCTTGTGGGGTCAGTGTTATTTGATCGACAAAAGACGCATGCTGCCACAAGAATGTCTGGAAACAGGCACATCGTATGCGTTGCTTCATGTTTTCTCACTGGTCGATGGAAATTTCTTGTCATGATAGACTTCGTATAACAGGTCATCAAAGTTACTGCTTTTACTTGTCGGGGAAAAGCATGTAATTATGAATTGTTCAGCATTTGCAATCATTTCGTCTGTTAGCTCACTCCATCCAAATGAATGGAACAATTCACCACCACCTTCTATGGCCGTCTGCAATGCTTAGTTAAGACCTTGCTAGTTGAGTCACAGCCGGTTAGTCCTGGTAAAACCTCTGGGTGAATTAGGTCAAGTGCCTAATGTACTGGAAAGAACTATCTAGAATTCCTTTATCCAGAGATAAACCAGAGATCAGCAAGACCGAAGTAAAGCAGTTTTGAGTAACTGCATATGGCACAAACAAGAACATCCATATCAGGAAATAAGAGTATCACACATTTGTATTTGTCTATCTTAACAGCATAACTGAGATGTTGCATTATTCTCAGCTTCACCTCATCTTCACCATGAAACCATCGGAAAAGACGTTCTGCTTCGGTCGTGGAAGCTAAAATACATGTATTTTAATCAGATTTGTCACCCCCCTTCAAGATAAATAGTTTTTCCACGAGTATCCTTCGTCGGCAGCCACTTAATGAAAATCTGCTGAAAAGAGACTTTATTCTCTGACAACGGCCAGAACTTATCCATCTCCACTGGAAGTGCTTAATCATCATATGAAACATCTGTGAATATTCTTGCTTGCTTACCTCTGCTATTTCGTTCATTTCCTTTTATAAACTTCTGGTGGTATAAGTCAAATACGATGTCAATGCATTCACAATCTTCAGCTAACCTTTCAAAGGTGATTGCATAAATCAAAGAACTTTTTAACTTAGATTTCTTGACTGGAACTTGACGGGCGAAATCCATGAAATCAAAAATCGCTATTCGTTTCTCAACAGCATCAGGTAACTCTTCAGGCATTCTTTAACTCTGGTGGATGGTGGAATCTGGATTTTCGGCTGTTGTGGATGTTTTCAGTAGAAAAGGAAATAAATTAGCTCTCATCAGCAGAGGAACTATCAGACTAAGATTGAAGGACATCATCAAAATTGATTATGATATCTTGTGTGAGAAATACCAAGATCAAGGTAGTCACTAGCTGAATGGACTAAGACTGAATGATATCATCAAAATTGATTATGATATCATGTGATAGAAACACCAATATCAAGGTAGTCAAAACTAGCTGAAAAATTCAAGACTGAATGATATCATCAAAATTGATTATGATATCATGTGATAGAAACACCAATATCAAGGTAGTCACTAGCTGAATGGACTAAGACTGAATGATATCATCAAAATTGATTATGATATCATGTGATAGAAACACCAATATCAAGGTAGTCACTAGCTGAATGGACTAAGACTGAATGATATCATCAAAATTGATTATGATATCATGTGATAGAAACACCAAGATCAAGTTAGTCACTAGCTGAATGGACCAAGACTGAATGACATCATCAAAATTAATTTTGATATCCTGTATTTATCCTTGTTTACTAAAATAAATTTTAAATTGTAGATGGACGACTTTGTCTTTTCATTGAATATTTTAGTGTGACAATTTAACAGCCGAAAAGTAAAGGGAGGAGTGGTCCATTTGAATTTTTTGAAGAAAAAAATGGTCCATGGCCTGAAAAAGGTTGACAAGCACTACTCTACAAGACTCTAAATGATTTCGGATCCTATCAAGAATGGAAAGTGATAGTTGTGAAGCTTCAGTCCAGTTCGTTAGACCAACAAAGACAAAATAGTATTAATTACAAGGTAACCAAAAAAGTTCTGTCCGTTTTTTGATTAGTCAGTGAATGAAGTTGAAATATATACGAAATGCGTGTAGCAATTGTTTTCAAATTCGGACAGCCGGAAGTAGGAACATCAGACGTTATAAAAAACACGCGCACCGTACCCGGCCATCAGTTATGAGCCGGACAGCTGTGAGAAGGATGGAAGTGTCTAGAGATCTCGTTCGGGGCTGTTTGCTTTACGACTTCAAAGTGGGCTTATCAGCAGCTGCATCAAGTCGCCGCATATGTCAAGCGTTTGGGGATAGTGCTGTGGATGAACGCACTGCAAGGTGTTGGTTTCGAAAATTCAATTCGGGAGATTTTTCTCTCCATGATGAGCCTCGCAGTGGACGACGGCCATTGAAGAGGACAGTAGTCTAACGTGTGGTGAACTTGCAAGACAGTTAAACGTTTCCGATGAAACAGTTAGACTTCACCTGCTCCGCCCTAGGTAAAGACGTACAAACTGAGCAAGTGGGTTCCGCAAACGCTGTTGGAGTTCCACAAGGGACAACGAGTGGAAGCCTGCTTTCTCGCCACCGTACCGCATCCTTATTCAATCGAGTGCTTACCTGTGATGAAAAGCGGGTTCTGTACGAAACTCCCAAGCGTTCCAGACATTGGTTGTCTCCTCAGGATGCTGTCCCTCACACCGCAAGACCGCCTATGCACCCACGCAAGATTATGCTTTGTGTCTGGTGGTTCATTATGAACTGCTACCAACGGACCAAACGGTCACTGGAGACCTATACTCGCAGCAATTGAAATTTGTGCAACAGGCATTGCGCCAGAAGGAGCGAGCACTGGTGAATCACAAAGGTGTGCTTTTCCTCCATGACAACGCCAGGCCGCATGTCACGCGTGTGGTCAGGGATACCATACAGCAACTTGGGTGGGAGACTTTGTGCCATCCACCTTATTCACCTGACCTTGCGCCATACGATTACCACCTCTTCCACTCCCTGGATAATCATCTTCGTGGGAAATCCTTCACCAATGAAGCAGTTTTGCGCAAAGCCCTCACGGACTTCTTTGCGTCAAAACCCCCCGAGTTCTACCGCAAGAGCATTGAACAGCTGAAGACATGTTGGTAGAAGGTGCAGGATGCCGATGGCGATTACTTCGAAGACTAAATATAAGTTAAACATACTGTGAAGCGTTTTCTTTTTTTTCTTTAAAAACGGACAGAACTTTTTTGGTTACCTTGTATTATTCTCAAAAATATTTCATAAAGCAATTTCCATATCATTTGGGATCAAAATTTCCGTAATCGAATTTTCCGATACGGATTTTTCAAAAGACCATCATGGTACAGTGTCTTACATTTTTGCAATACTCACATTACACAAAGAGAGGGAGAGAGAGGGGAGAGAGAGAGAGAGAGAGGGGAGAGAGAGAGGGGAAAGAGAGAGATATTTTGAGAGAGAGAGGGGAGAGAGAGAGGGGAGAGAGAGAGGAGAGAATTCACCAGGGGAGAGAGAGAGAGGGAGAGAGAGAGAGAGAGAGAGGGGAGAGATTTCAGGAGAGAGATTTGTGGGGGAGAGAGGGGAGAGAGAGAGAAGAGAGGGGGGAGAGGGAGAGAGAGGAGAGATGGGGGAGAGGGAGAGAGAGAGGGAGAGAGAGAGAGGAGGGAGAGAGAGGAGATAAATTATCGGAGAGAGAGACAGAGAGAGAGAGAGGGAGAGGGGAGAGAGAGAGAGAGGGAGAGAGGGGGCAAATGATAGAGATAGAGAGGATTTGGGGGGAGAGAGAGGGGGGAGAGGGGAGAGAGAGAGGGAGAGAGAGAGAGAGAGGGGAGAGAGAGAGAGGGGAGAGATTTTTTTTAGAGGGAGAGAGAGGGGGGAGAGAGAGAGAGAGGGAGAGAGAGAGGAGAGGGAGAGTTAAGAGGGAGAGAGAATCATCTATTCTAGAGGGGGGGGAGTGAGGGGAGAGAGAGAGGGAGAGAGAGAGAGGGAGAGAGATTAGAGAGAGAGAGGAGGGAGAGAGATCCAAGAGAGGGGGGAGAGGAGGAAGAAAGGAAAGAAAGAAAGAAATAAAGAAATAAAGATAATTTTAAATAAATAGCAAATTCACTGAAAATGAAAAACTTTAGGAACTCAAACAAGATTTGTCTATGATTTGTACTCATTGAAGATCTACCTACTCAACTATCGGCGATAAAGATTCGTCAGCAGAACAACTGCCGACGCGAAATGGAATCGTATAGAACTTAGCCCGTTCCTTTTCATAGTTTTAGACTTGGTCCAATTACGTTATTGGCACTGTCTTCCGGATTTTCCTAAAGGGATGTTTTCTTGGCAAAGATGTTTTAACCGAAGTTACATGGACACTCAGAATATAGAAGACATGGCTCGTATAAAAATATTATCTACAATTTGGCTGGATGTTTATGTGATATTGATTCTGGCAAAATCATGGAGATATATCCGTTTAACTCTACACAGAATACATATACAAATGACTTGTTCAAGTTTACATTGAAACAATCCTGGGAAATCGTACCAGGATTCTTTATTGGCAACCACAATCATAACAACATAAAATATGCAGATGACACAGTGTTGAGAGAGAGAGAGAGAGAGAGAAAGAGTATATTACAGACACTTCTACAGAAAGTAGTAAAAGAAAATGAGAAGAAAGAACTATCAATTGTAAGAAGACAGAATACACAAATGTCAAGGAGTAACCCAAGATGTGAACCACAAACTGAAGACATCAAAATCAAACAAGTGCTAAAATAGAGGACAGAAAATACAACAGAGAAATCCAAAGACGAAATATGCCTTCCAAAAGTTAAACAAAGTATTAAGAAACAGGAAAATTTTGTTAGAAACATGAAAGGCTACTGAAACGTTATGTAATATTTGTTCCTCCTACATGGCAGTGAATGCTGAATACATTACAGATGGAGAAGAGATTTGAGACAAGAGAAATGCGATTATACAGAAGGATGCTGAGAATACGATGGCCTGAATATGACAGGACAATGGTAACATGTAAGGATACTTATATTTAGAATAAGGAAGAGATTGTTGAAATTTCTAATGAGAAAAGAAGGCTTGGAAAGTATAGCACTCACATTAATAGTTATCTTAACCTTAAGATTTAAACTTTTTAGTTCTTTATAAATCATTTTTGTTAATTTTTCTTGCTTAATTTTAGTGAAATTTTTTACTGCCATAAGGCAATCATCTGTATATAACCGTAAAATATGGCAACATTATTCCATTTTCGGTCTGATTTTGGCTCTTGTAAATGCAGAGGATAGTAGGAGGAGTCAGATAATTACTGGAGCATTTTCGCGCATCTTTAGCAATGGATCGTATGTACGAGTTGCATTTGCGGGGTGAGTTTAAGGCTAGATAGATAGATAGATAGATAGATAGATAGATAGATAGATAGAGATAGATAGATAGATAGATATGAAGAGATTGAAAATGATAGATAGATATGAAGAGACTGGGATAGATAGATAGATAGATAGATAGATAGATAGATAGATAGATATAAAGAGATTTAAAAGATAGATAGATAGATAGATAGATAGATAGATAGATAGATAGATAGATAGATATGAAGAGACTAAAAGAGTGATAGAAATAAATATACTGAAATAGATACATAGATAGATAGATACTAAAAGAGAGATAGAAATAAATATACTGAGATAGATAGATAGAGATTTAGATAGATAGATAGATAGATAGATAGATAGATATGAAGAGACTAAAAGAGTGATAGAAATAAATATACTGAAATAGATAGATAGATAGATAGATAGATAGATACTAAAAGAGAGATATAAATAAATATACTGAGATAGATAGATAGATAGATAGATAGATAGATAGATAGATAGATAGATAGATAGATAGATATGAAGAGACTAAAAGACTGATAGAAATAAATATACTGAGATAGATAGATAGATAGATAGATAGATAGATAGATAGATAGATAGATAGATACTAAAAAAGAGATAGAAATAAATATACTGAGATAGATAGATAGATAGATAGATAGATAGATATGAAGAGACTAAAAGAGTGATAGAAATAAATATACTGAGATAGATAGATAGATAGATAGATAGATAGATAGATATGAAGAGACTAAAAAGAGTGATAGGAAATAAATATACTGAAATAGATAGATAGATAGATAGATAGATAGATAGATAGATATGAATAGACTAAGAGATAGAAAGAAAGAAAAAAATAGATATGAATGTACTGAGATAGATAGATAGATAGATAGATAGATAGATAGATAGATAGAGAGATAGATAGATGGGTGATAGCAAAATTCGTAGCGTTTTTTAAGTGAATTTTAAAGAAAATATTTACTTATTTATACATCGATGTATTCAAATTCATATTTACAAATGAGTGCCACAGGCTTTCGCCAACTATGAGGCATGTTCATTATTTCGTCCCCTCAAAACCTTGCATTTTTCTGGATCAAACTGTATGAGTCAAAATGGTTTGTACGGTCTTTCAGAAAATTTAAATTCTTCCCATTGAGAGAAATTCGATTATATAAAAAATATTTTTATTTCGATAAACTTAGATGATATCAGATTATTTATAACGCAAAACGCACAATTTTAATTTCGTTTGCGTCATGCCGTAACGTCTCTTAATTAGATTGAACAAATTTAAAATATGGTGACGGCCTAGACGATATCTATCTTCTTTTTTTAAGCTTTTCACCCCAAGCAAGGTGGGAGTGCCACTAGCACGCAAGGGGTTACAGAGATTGGGAGTAAGAGTAAAGAGGAGTTGATAGAGGAAAAAATGAAGAGAAGGACGGGGAATAGATCAAGGCATCTGGAGATGTCGATTGACATTGCATTTGAATAATTGGAGATTATAGCTATCAGGAAAGCAAGTAAGAGGAAGGGAGTTCCACGGACGGGAAGTGCGAGGCATGAAGCTATTGGAGTAGAAGAGATGGTTACATTTAAACGTTTCGACAGTGAAAGGGTGGGACTGAAATGCCAACCTAGTAGCACGCTTAAATTCATGCAGTTTGGGAACCAGCGAAAGTAGTTCGTCGGATCAGTTACCGTGAAAGATAAAGGGAGGCGACGGCACGTCTGTGAGAGAGCGACTGTAAACGAGATGCCAGATCAGGGCCAACCGCATTGCATATCCGTCTGTGGATATTTGTCGAGGACTATATATATATATATATATATAGAGAGAGAGAGAAAAAGTTTCAAATTAAAAAATAATAATGTTTTATTTTATGAAAGTATTTATTTATTTATATATATATTTGATATTTCAAATTGTCCTCAATTTTTCATCAGAAATAACTGTTTGTTACAAATAAATTAAAATTACTGTTTGTTAGCAAGTAGCGTCCTTTGCGAGACGCGGACGTCACGTGATATGGAACGTCCCTGTTCGGATATTCCTAACTTAAATCTAACTGTCATAAATATTTTAAATGTTGTTTAAAAAAAATTTTTTACTATATCTAAAAAAAATTGCTTAACTATTGAAATATTTATAAAGATTTAAAACACCTAAGTCCCTATTCAACCCTAGTTTATGTGTATTTAATTTTAAAATCCAATATGTTTCTTTTTTGTGCGTGTGAATCTGGAAGTAAAATCGGAATCTATCAATAAACATTTGCAGTTTTCTAATGTGTGTCCTGATTGATTGTAGTGTTTAGCTATGGGGGAACAAGGGTTGTCTTGACGTATTTTTTCTTTATGGTTATTGAAACGAAATCTAAAATTATTTCCAGACTCACCAATATATCCACTATTAGGACATAAGTTGCAGAATAAATAATAGATTACGTTATGGCTATCGCAGGTATCTCTCTCTCTCACTTTCTCTCTATATATATATATATATATATATATATATAGAGAGAGAGAGAGGAAGAGAGAGGGAGGGAGGGAGAGATTGATAATATTAGTGGTCAATATATATATATATATATATATATAGCATAATGAGAAGCCACGTATTTTTTTTTTTTTAAACAACATCTAAAATATTATTACAGTTTTAGAGTTACGTTAAGAATATTCGAACACGGTGGCGTTCCATATCACGTGACGTCCACGTCTCGCGACGGACGCTACTTGTAAACAAACAGTTATTTCTGAAGAAAGATTGAGGTCAATCTGAAATATCAAATATATATATAAGTAAATAAATTCTTTCATAAAAAACATTATTTTTTAATTTGCAACTTTCTTTCTCTCTCTCTCTCTCTCTCTCTCTCTCTCTATATATATATATATATATATATATATATATATATATATATATAAATTCCCAAAAGGATAGAATCCAGGTAGAACTCAATGTCCAGGATAGAGCAAGACTATATTATAAAAGGCTGAAACACTAATATTACATGGTTTTAATTTATTACATTGGAATCGTAATCACGATCCAAATCTTTTTGAATTTGTAAGTCTGATGAATTGGATTGTGATTACAATTCCACTGTAATAAATTATAACCATGGAATATTAGTGTTTCAGCCTTTTATATTATATAGTCTTTGTCGTTTTCTGGGCAACTTCAATTTTTTTTCCTACCCTCCTCCTTGTCACTTTTCCAAGAAGCTTTTTGACGTTTCTCTTAATTCCGATGATTTTTCTTCGGAAGAAACGTCGGAACAAAGCTTACCTTAAAATTTTTGTTTTTAATCGAGACGATACTTTTGTGTCTGATTTTTGATTAATAAAAAAAAGTTCCCCGTTTTAAGAATATTATTTGGGACTAAAAATCTGTTTTCACACACACACACACACACACACACACACACACATATATATATTGTCTCGAAAACGAATCTGATTTCACCATGGAACAAAAAAAAAATTCTTATAGGGGAGAGATTTCGAAAATATCTTTGAGTCATTCAAATATTCGTCTCGGAAAACCGTCCGAAGGAGACTTGGGATTCATTTGGAAATCGTTTCGACTGAGTTGATAATTAAAAGAGATAGACAAATTTTCCCATCCTATCAGGGAAAAGGTTAAAATTTTGAACGCGTCTAATTATTTTTAAGCAAAAAGAAACCTCAGTGGAGCAATTCTCAATAGAGCTATTAAAGATTTTATTCCAAAGGGCATCGTAAAAAAACAAAATCACAATTGGGATTCATTTCGTAACAAAAAGAAGTCTTGTAAATACGGAATTAATGTCTAATAGATGAGATAAATGAAATATCAACAGAGAGTTCAACGTAATCCAAATTGGCAAGACTTGCGATGATTGTCAAAATCCAGGATAGGAGGTATGGAACAAAGAATGTAAAGAAGCGTATTGATAAAAATTATTAGGGATATGTCTTAGAAAATCTATTATTTGACTTAGAAGCTGAGAAACGGAAAATTTATAAGTCTCAATACCAGTAACATCACTACCATTAGAATGATTAAACCATTTGACACGATGAGCATTAAAATCAACAAACGCAAAGATGTTTGCAGATGAACGTAGATAAATAGATAGATAGATAGATAGAGAGAGAGTACCATTTCTATACTGTTTTAATACTCTATTTACCTTATTCGGACTATTGTCCTCATCTTTGTCGCCATATTTATTACAACGTTTCGGCCATTGTACGCTCGTGCTTTCTTCAGGCGGCATTTCAACCACCAGAAGAAGGCCGAAGCTCATAACGGCCGAAACGTTGTAATAAATATGGCGACAAATATGATGACAATAGTCCGAATAATGTAAATAATGTATATAATACCTCATCTCAGAAATATAGATAGAGGCTGAAAGGCTGAAACGTTGTAATAAATATGGCGACTAAGACGAGGACACTAGTCCGAATAATGTAAATAGTGTACATAATACCTCATTTCAGAAATATAGACAGATGTTTTAATATTATTTTGCCACACTTCTCAGAAGAAGGTGAGATATAATGGGAAAAAATGTGTAAGAAAGAATGAACGTGTAAAGAATCATTCAGGATGTGAAGAGACGATCCCTTTTCCCGATTGAAAGAGTATTCCGGATGGAAATGCCAAGGTCAGCCATATGCAGCGATTTTCCTAAGCGTAGCTTAGATGCGGCTCAACTCCCAAAGTATGGAGCACCCAGTGAGTATCGAACTCACAACCCAGTCGTAAATGATTTAGCGAGATAAACTTGCTAATCATTTCCCCAAGTCGAAGTGCCCAAGGCCAGCTTATGTATACTAAAATTTTTTTGACAAAGAGAAAAATAGCCGGGAAAAGAAAATTGGTAAAGATGGAAAAGCTTAAATTAGTTTCCCGAAGCGCAAAGATATCTGGAGAATGTTTCAAGAGAAAATATTCTACACTACAAAAATTGATTTGGATATCATGAACATTGGGGAAAGAAAGATTGTGCTAGGGGTAGGGGAATTACTGATTTGTAGATGAATGTAGAACGATTGAGAGCCATTTCTATGATGTCAAATATTTTATATAATCAGTCCTGAGAAGGGGAATGAAAAATGAAAAAGTGATTGATAACGGAGGACAGTAAAGTCGAAAGCGCATGAATGAATTCGGGGACCCAAGAGGCAATTCCCTTACGGATATAAACCTCAAGGCTATATATATATATATATATATATATATATATATATATATATATATATAACTTGTACAAAATAAACTATGAAATCTTCACAAATATTCTTAAATGCCTATAATTGATAACAGAATACTTAATACTTCTCGAATTCACTTTCGTGTGGTAATGTGTGACGTCATGATCTGCGGTGCGATTTTCGTTTCCAGCGTCTCATATGCACGAGTTTGTCGTTGCTTAGAAATCTTCCATGTAAGCAAAAACAGACTATCATTATTGTTTTGTCCATGTATTGTTTGGTATATTGTAATGTAATCGTCATCTTTGATAATGGCTTATGTAAACCGAAAGATTGGATTAAAAAATATGTATCAATATTGTGATTTTCTTTCTTCGTTTAATGATAATGCTATTAAGCTTATCAGACGATATGAATGAATTTACATAAAATAAATTGACAAAACTTGTCTATATTATTTGATGAAACATGCATCGATAATATTTAATATCACTTTCTCTTTTAATGTTCTATAATTAGAATTTTGAGAGTGCATTTTTATCTTCTGAAGGGAGTTTCATTTTAAAATTGATAATTTAAATTTAAATATACCACTCTTTAACTATTAATAGTAATAAAATTCCTTTAATAATGAGGCATTTCAGAAGTCACCTAAAGTTAAACTTTAACTATAGAATCAAACTAAAATCTAAATAAATTTCAAATATTAAAATATAGGTAATGATTGAGAAATGTATGTTTATATTATTTATGTATGAAGATAGATGAACATTTGTGTATATTGTTACACGTGTGTCTATGTGTGTATTTGCACATGTAAATAAACGTATGTATATATGGATTTGCATGAATATGCTTGTGAGATACATATAAGAAGAAAACAAAATCTTTAATATTACCCTCAAATATTATTAAATAATGAAACCTAAACCTTAATTAAGTTTACCCATATAATAATAAAGAAAAATTGCATTCATAAATTAGATTAAAAGTAAAACTAATATAGATGTTATTGTTACCGAAATTTTTTTACAATATTATGGAAATACAATTGGTCGGGTAAATAAACTATTATAATTTTAAATATTTCTTTAATATGGTCTCGATAAATGTGCTAATAAAAATATTAGTTAACTTATACTAAGTCCCTAAACTATTTACTTAAAAAATTAAATGTTTAAATTTATAACATTCATCATTTTTTAGACATCTAAATTTCTATCAAGCATTGAAATCTATCTTTTACATAATTTTGTTAAAACAAAATTACAGCCTCTTTCGATTCACTTCCCTCTCCCCCTCTCTCTTTGCCGTAACACTCATTTGGATATATCTGTATTACTGCCATCTGTCTCCTCTCTCTTTTCCATTTTACCTTTTCTTTTTTCCCCACTCCCCTCCCATTCCTATATATCATTTCCGTTAAGTTAACCATCTAAATAGGTCATGGTTCGGTCACTCCTCCTACCCCAATATAAAGCATGCTTAAGAGAGATATGAAATTAACCCCTCCCTATACTCTACCTTATCTCTTTAACTACAACTCTCACCCCCCTGTTAAATTACAAAAATTGCACAGCCCATCAATTTCTAATCCCATTTTTCCTTTCATTTCGTTGTTGGAATTGTTACCTGATGACCCGGAGTCCTTTAAAAAGGATTTTGGTGAAATAATTGTAATGGTACCTTAAAGTGGTCTGTTTTTCATCATATATATATATATATATATATATATATATATATATATATAATCCTAGAATCGTTTCAACAAAGAGGAAAATGGCTTGGAACAGAGAATTCATTAGAATCGTATAAAAGAGTTTAAATTAATTTTTAAAAGCGCTAAGAATATCTGGAAACGTTTTAAGAGAAAAGATTCTACACACAGAAATTGGTACGAATCACTATTAATATTGGAGAAAGAGATGTCTTAGTGGCTTTATTGCTTCCCTTTGAGTAATTTTATTTTTTAAATCATAAAAATGAATAGAGTAACGTTAGTAAAGGACTTGATCATACTGTACACACTGAATTTTCTCTCACATACCTCAGTGTGTGAAGCCCTGGACTAGCACCAGTGTTTCCGCTGAGTACTATCCAGAAAACCAAAACTCACTGATAATGGCCAGCAAGAGTAATTTACTCTTCATCAGTCTATGGTAGGCGAATTTTGTATTCATCTCAATTTCAGAGATCACATTTTTTTCAGACTGTTCCTGGTGAATCCAAATGCAATGAAAATGGATGTGTGTTTTCTTTATTCCCTGTAGGGATAGCTTCACACTTGGTGGACGTACACTGGGCCTTACTGTATTTTTTATCAGCCCAACGCAAACTAGAATCGAAACACCTTGTGGGCTGAAGCTGTCTAGTCGGTGAGAGACTGATGAAGGGCGGTAGATGTATGTTTACACTGTCATCCATTTACTTACCTTCAATCTATCCTATAGGCAGTAGTGGCATCCTACCGGTTCACGCGAACCGATTCTTAAAATAGCGAACCCGTTGTTGGATTATCCGAAAATAATCTTATATATTAATAGCCGATATATAATAGCTAAAAATAGAATTAATTCGATTGCTGTAAGTTCTGCAGAGGAGGAAAGAGGTTTTTCTGTGATTAACATAATTTATTCTGACAAAAGAAATCGTCTTGTAGTTAAAATGTGGCAAATATTCCAGTCCAAAATTTGATAGCTCTTCCATTGGATTTATGGAACTGCAGCGTTTCAGTTCGAATATGGCTAAGAAACCATAACACAGATGATGACATTGGTGTCAAAAAGCATCATACTTCTGAACAGAAATATGATGAGAACAGAATTTCAATCTGGAAATATCTTAATAAATAAATGTTTTCTATTAAATTATCAAAATGGTTTAATTCTTTTTGATACTATAAAGTGATTTGTTTCCATTCTCAGATTAAAAAGAAAATAAGCAGAATATGTTCCTAAAGATTACCTACCTTTATAGAACCGGCCCCAGGACATTTGGGATGCCATTATTTTCTGTACTCTTTCTGATTTTACACTGTACAATAAATCTACGGAAAGTAAGGACCTACGTACATCAAATTGACTTAAGTGGCGACAGAAGAATTATTAAAAGGTTTTAAAAGGTAAGCTTAAATATTAATGCAGTACTTAAATCCTGCGATCAATTTTGAGTTCTTCTGTAGTTTATTGTTGCCTATCGCATACGACAGCAGCATGCCTCGCAAAAAGAAATCAGGTTGCAATCAAAAGAGCCAAGGCTGGAGCGAGGAGAAGAAAGTCCTGTACAAATGAAAACCCAGATCAAACGGCAGCCAGGAGAGCTTCCAATAAGGAACCCTCTGATCTGATAAGATGGCCTTTAAGCTAATATAGTCATGAAATTGATAGGTTTCTCATTGGATCATTGGGACTGCAGTGATTCAGTTAAAATGTGGCTAAGAAACCATAACACAACTGATGACACTAGAGTCAAAACAGCATAATATTTCTAATTTAATAACGACAATTTTTTTAGTATAGGTTCGTATGAATAGAATATCTATTCTTTGTAAGAAATCAGTTTGTAAATCAGGTTTTATTGACGTATTGCTGGTAATATTTTTATCAAAAAATGTAGTGCTGGCATTATTTTTTTTCAAAAATATATTGCTGGTGAGAATTTTTAAATGTATTGCTGGTAATTTTAATATAAAACTCTATTTTTATACTTTCATAGTGTTTTGATCACAGTTTGGGGGTTAACTATTTGCCCATAGCTGGGACCCTAACAGGTGTTACCACTCCGGGTCAGGGTGGACCTGGGAACAACAACAATTAAAGTTCCACGCCCCTCAAAAGCTCTGATCTCCCGATCAGAGGCTTAGCTGCCGGATGTAGTTTATCGTTATACCCAGGACGGCTTAGCTTCATTGAACCTGTTCCTGGGAATTTGCCTATAGGTGTT